CCATCCCCGCCTCTTCGACCTGTCTGTTTCCTCTCCACCTATCCTCTCCTCTATCCATCTTCTATCTGCCTCCCACTCTCTCCCTATTTATTTCAAAACCCCCTTCCCCTCCCCCTTTTCTGATGAAGAGTCTAGGCCTGAAACGTCAGCCTTTCTGCTCCTATGATGCTGCTTGGCCTGCTGTGTTCATCCAGCCCTGCACCTTGTTGTCACAGGGTAACAGCAGCTGAGTTTACTGCTGTTTGCATCACAAAGGTAATGAACACCAGCACAACATTAGCTGAATGCTACAACAGAATGCTGCAATTGTTGATCTGTTAGTTCATGTACAATGTTGCAAACTGCTTCAAAGAAAGACTAATTTCCTCCCAGCTGCATTTCTCAACCCCAATTCACACATTCTGACAATTCCTACAAATCTCTGGCTACACTAATGCTCACCCTGACAGACCCGATTTCTACCCATCATCGGTTTTGTTAAAACTATACAAGATATTAGTCAGGCCAAGGTGGAATACTGAATAGTTTTGGGGTCCCTTATTTAAGGAAAGATATACTGCCAAAGCAGGAAGACTAGAGAAGGTTCACTAGGCTAATACCAGGTATGAAGGGACTGTCTTATGAGGAGAGGTTAAGTAGGTTGGGCCTGTGTTCTTTAGAGAATACAGGAATGAGAGGTGACCTTTGTGAAAAGTACAAGATTCTTAGAGGACTTGACAGGGTAGGTGTGTAAAGGTGGTTTCCCTTTGTGGGAGAGTCAAGGACCAGAGGGCCCAATCTCAGAATAAGGGTTTGCTCATTTGAGACAAAGACGCAGAGGAATTTCTTCTTTCATTGGGTAGTGAATCTGTGGAATTCATATCCCGACAGGACTATTGAGGTTGGGTTGTTAAATTTATGCAAGGCTGAGAATGACACATTTTTAATCAGTAATGGTTACGGGAAGATGCAGGAAAGTGGAGTTGAGGATTATCAGATCATGATCTCACTGAATGGATGAGTAGACCCAATGGACTGAACGGTCTAGTTCTACTCCTAGACTCCTACTTCAACTCAAACTCTTCTTTAAAGCACCATGTTACAGTTCCTGAGATGCTGCATGTTTCCCAGTATTTAGTTCAAACTATCTCTGCTTAAACATAGAGTAGGCACATGGCTGGATAGTCAATGTAGATGGAGAGCTAGACTTAAGTCATATGTGCTCGGTGTGCTCATATTCGTGAGGACATACTGAACAATGATAAACATTCAGAGCACTGGCTGATGGTAAACTATTCCTGACCCTATTCTGTATGACTCAGCATCACTGAACAGTATCTTTACCTGTGCTAACAGTTGAAGAGAGATGGAGTAATTTATAAATAAATATAATGTACCGTGTTCGGGAAAATACTCTAACAGTTCCTTCTCTTCTGTCTCACACTAGGTTTCCACTTAGAACCCAGGGATCATGACAGATTTTTTGTTTACAACTGAGAACATTCTGGAAACTCTATCCTTCAGGGATTTCCCAAAGAATCACAACCTGCTTGTTAGCCTTTTTAGAATATACCTTCCCACACAAAAATCTCTGAGAGCAGTGTCCTGAATAAGCCACCCCGTCCCTGACTGCTGGTGTGTAGTGCTCACACTTACTATATGAGGACAGTCCCTGGTATCGATCAACACCTGGTAGTAAGTGTGTGTTTTACCTTTGACCTCTTTGGAACCTTGAGTTCCGGAGTTTTCTGTTTTACTGTGAAAGAGAGAGAGTGAGAGACACAAAGAGTTAATTTGTTAATCTGCAGTGTGAAGTTATGGAATATTAAACACAAAACATGTCTGTCCCACTTCAAACAGCAAGGAGTTATCTGGTAGACCTTCAAAGCACTGTTCTGAGCAAACAGGGCAGGAAATTGTCAGGGTAACATTGAAAAACATTTCAAAAGAACAAGAAGCATAATGAAAGTAATTTAAAAAAAATAGGTTCTCTTTACATTTCTGAACTAATGCACAGTCTCATTTCAGACACCACTAAGAGACTCTCCCAATCAGCAGTAATCCTGTTTATATATCCTGCCTCGGATTCACCAGATTTCTGTTGAAGTCACTGTGACCAAACTGGAGAAATTCCTGGTGCAAATGTTTAGCTTGAATTTTAAAACAAATTACTCTTCCTCATTCTATTCCCACTTTATAAATGAGAAATAAAAACAGAAGTTGCTGGAACAGCTCAGCAGGTCAGGCAGCATCTGTGGAGAGAAATGAGAGTTAACATTTCGGGTCGAGTGACCCTTCCTCAGAACTTTAGGCTTTTCTTTTGGTTTCCACTTTGAAAATGGTTGTAGTTGCTCTGTCCAATCCTGTCAATCAAACTGGACAGTACCTTCAATAGAGTCTTTGGCAGTCCACTTCCCCCAAACCCAAATTTGGGCTTTGTGCCGGGTGCACTAGGCATGGACTGGGCTCCAGTCTGGCTCCAGCACCCCCTCCTCAACAGGTTATGGACTGCACCCTATCTGTTGCCTCAGTTCCCTAACTGTGCGCTCCCTACTGTCTACCTCCCTCCCTGCTGAAGGTGTATATTCATTGCAATGGCACAACTTCACTGGCGTTATTCAATGCACCTGTCGCACAGCTGCCATTAACTGAGCACAGAAGATGGTCAGACATGGAATATTTCTGGCTCTGCGAGCCACCATCTGAGATGTCACAGTTATTTGAGATGTGCATGACTCATGGCAGCCAAGCAAATACAGATCAGAACTGAAATCCAGAATGTCCTGGCCAAATGAGTAAGCTCGTTAAGGTATTGTTCAAAACATAGAGCAGTCCCAAAAAATGTAGCGCCTGGGGTTAAGTTAACTGTTTGTAAATAAAATGTTGAATCACCGAAGTGTAATGATGCAGGAGGCCATTCAGACCATCATGTCTACAGTGGCTCTGCAAAGAGCATCATTACCTACTTCCAATCCCTTGCATTTTTACCCCATACTCTTGCACATTAAATTGAAGGCAACTTATCTGAGAAATAGAAGTCAGTGAAAACCTCGCAAATCATGTTGAAATCTGGATAAACCACTCACTAGCTTTAATGCTGAAGATTGATGAGTAAGACAAAATCTTTGCCATCAATAAGCTGTTTGAGGACCCCAATCTCTTACCTTTCAGAACTACAGGATGCAACATCTCGGTCATATAGCCTGGCATGCCAGGGGAACAAGACTATCCCTCGGTAACCAAACACACTGTGCAGAAATAGCTATAGGAAGAGGACAAGAAAAGGTCAGAGACTGCTCCAGTAATTCAGGATAAAATTATACCATTACTGCCATTGCTGAGAGCCATAATCCAGGCCAGGCAACAATAATGCAAGCAACAGGAATCTGTTCTGCTCTCAGATCTGCTCTGCTGTTCATTATGCTCAAAGTTAATCTTAGACGTCAAATCCACTCTTCCCTGCCACACGTGAGAGGATGTCAGTGCTGCTGGCTTGGCCAGCTTTTACTGTTCATCCCCAATTGCCCTTGAACAGTGCGGCTCACGAGGCCATTTCAGAGGGCAGTTAAGAATCAACCACATTGCTGTGAGTCTGGAGTCACAAATAGGCCAGACTCGGTAAGGATTCCCTAACTTTAGTAAACCAGATGGATACTTATGACAATCAGCAATGGTTACACGGTTGCCATCAGAAAAGCTTTTGTAATTTCAATTTTTTTTAATTGAATTTAATTTTCACCAACAATCTTGCTGGGAGTCAAACCCATGTCCCCAGAACAATAGTTCAGGATTGTAAATGACTAGTCCAGTAACATGACCATTACACCATCACTTCCTCCAAGTATCTCAGTGTCTAACTTCGTCAATCTTGAATAAACTCTAGCTGCATGTTTACAGCACTCCTGGCAAAAAGAATTCCAAAGACTCATAACTCTCAGAATCAAGACATTTTTCATCTTAGTCTGAAATGGCTGAACTTCATAACTTGAGACTGTGAACTGTAATTCTCAACCGATTCCAATATTCAAGCTGTCAAATAGTTAGAATCACTCTCTCCCTATTTATTTCAGAACCCCCTTCCCCTCCCCCTTTTC